AAATGAGACACTCGAAATGCGTGCACGCATGCACGCAAACCGAGGACCGAACCTAAGGTAACAAATGCCACTCTACCAAAGCATGGCAAGGCATGGAATATGGTATGCAATCAGGCAAATCTCAGCGTTGAAATATGATACAAAACAGCCCCGAAACATGGAAACATGGCACCCGATGCATGGAATGAACCCTGAAATTCGAAACTAGGCACATGGAATGACTTACAGCTATACAAAGCATGCATTATTTTATCATGACGCATGAAGACAGATGCAAGACAGTCCCAATACATGCATATTTCAAGTTTATAAGAAGTCTCAAAAATGAACACAAATAGGGCTAATCTATCATGCAAAAATGGCCCTAAAAGAGAGATTAAACACAAAGGGACAGTAGCTGGCCCCAAATGGAAAAGAGACCTTCAACAAATTTTAAGAGGGGCTCAAAAAAAGGCACTTTTTAGTTTACACCAAGCCACGAAAATAATCACAAATAAGGCCAAACTATCATGCAAGAAAAGGCCTAAAAGAGGGGTAAAGAGACAAGTGGTAGATACTGTTCTCAAACAGAGGAGATCCCTTCAACAAAGTTGAATAGGGGCTCAAAAAAAGATATTTCACAGTTTATTGAAAAGTCTAAAACAGCTCACAAATAAGCCTAAAATACTATGCAAAAATAGGCCTAAAAGAGAGGTAAAGAGGCAAGTGATATCTGCTGGCCTCAAACAGAGGAGAGACCTTCAACAATGTTGAAGAGGGACTCAAAATAAATTATCTTCCAGTTTATGAAAAAGTCCAAAACAGCTCACAAATAGGCCTAAAATACTATGCAAAAATTGGCCTAAAAGAGAGTTTAAACATAAAGGGTGAGGAAGGGACCTCAAACAAAGAAAGACCCTTAATCAAACATGGAGATGAGCACAAAATATGACTATTTACAGTTTGGGTCGGAGCCCAAAAATGCTAGGGGGAAAACCAATTTGAATGGACCAAAACAAAGAGGGGGAAAACCAATTTGAATGGACCAAAACAAAGAGGGGGAAAACCAATTTGAATGGACCAAAACAAAGAGGGGGAAAACCAATTTGAATGGACCAAAACAAAGAGGGGGAAAACCAATTTGAATGGACCAAAACAAAGAGGGGGAAAACCAATTTGAATGGACCAAAACAAAGAGGGGGAAAACCAATTTGAATGGACCAAAACAAAGAGGGGGAAAACCAATTTGAATGGACCAAAACAAAGAGGGGGAAAACCAATTTGAATGGACCAAAACAAAGAGGGGGAAAACCAATTTGAATGGACCAAAACAAAGAGGGGGAAAACCAATTTGAATGGACCAAAACAAAGAGGGGGAAAACCAATTTGAATGGACCAAAACAAAGAGGGGGAAAACCAATTTGAATGGACCAAAACAAGAGGGAAAATTTTGGACATAGGGCCTGGTGGAATACAGCTGGAGGGAAGACATCTGTCAATTTTGGGCTTTCTGGGCATAAGTGGCCGGCCTACCACCTTTTATGGTCGGCCTGCTACTTTTCAGGACAAAAATGGATCTACCGGAAAGAAAGGTGGCCGGCCAGTGATTGGGAAGTCCAATGGTGGCCGACCAGATGTCCAAATTGAAGCCCCAGAAGTTATCTTTCCAATAGCGCAAACCTTGCATTAAAATTCCTCTTGTGAAAAAAGTTATGCCTGTTTTCGTGAAGCCGCACAGATTCGGTCCAACCGGAGTGATACCCTACTTCAATCAACCATATCGCCCCCACCCGAACTTGTCCTTAGGATATTCTTGAGTGAAAAATGAAACCCCGGAAGTAAGATTTCCAATGGTGGTAACCTCATATCTTAAATCCAAGTATGCAAAGAGTTATGCTCGTTTCGGTGAAGCCGCGCAGTGTTTTCCTCCTTCCTGGATTCATGTTGAATCACTTTTGACCAAAAAAAGCTAGTTTTTCAGAAAAATTGATGGCCTCCCACTCTCCTACAACCTTTCTAACAACGAAAATATGGTCTCCACCAAAAATGAACCCAAACTGATGCAAAACGGAGGTTCGGGGGCCGAAACACGCAGTTCGGGGCCCCGAAAACAGGCTGTTAGGCACCGGAAGTGGCATTCGACCACGAAGTTGGTCTCTCGGACCACAGTGTCCCTCAAAAGGGAGGAAATAAGGTGTATGCCAAAAACCGGAGCAAACGGAGGTGGTTAAGTGGTCCCGAACCGAGGCGCACGGCCGACGGCTCCGAAAAACTAGAAACCGGGCTCCAAACGGGAAAAATGGCCTACGACCACGAAACGTAGCCTACGGCCACTGAGAGATGATCTACGAGACCTCTCCCTCCCTTAGAGAAGAGAAAACAGAGAAAACGGGACCTGGTTCGCAAACCGAGGCAAGGTACAAAAGTGTCCGGAAGTCCGGAGGCAAGGCTTGCAGCCGGGACTCTGAAACTTCTGAACGAGCACAATATACGACATCACCAAACGCTCAATCGGTGACGTCTGAGTCTTAAGGTCGGTTAAAAATGGGGTGTCTACAGCTACTGAATCTGAATCTGGAACTAGTTATGAAACTGATCCTGCAAACGTCATTTTCGATAATCGTTCTCATGAAAATAATTGACTTAATGTAATAACTCGTATTAATATCCAGAAATGGCATTCAAAAATCAGTCACAAGTTGCATAGTTATTTTCCTTTTCTTTAAATTGCAATGTTAGAGTCATTTGTAATTAGAGTTGGTTCGAAGTGTTTTTCTGCATTTCTGCTATTTTGCTATAATTGTAAGTCATCTATTTAAATGTTTTCAGTATATCAGTAAATTTGGATTCGATTTCCTTTGTATGTATTATGTATTATCTTCCTCCTTCTTCTTCTTTTCCTTTGGTATCAGAGCATCAGTTTGAATAATTTTGAAAGAATCTTCAATAGGAATACCAAGACAATGCAAAGTCTTGACATATTTCTTGACTTGCTGAATAATAATAGTATGAGTGGACGACTTTGGAGAAGGATTATCTTTCAATCGATCAAAAAGGGGTTGACAAATTTTCCTAAGGTCTTTGTAGAATTCAGCAATGTAATTTAAAGATCTTAAAAATCGTTGTAACTGGGTTTTAGCTAGAATTTCATCAGGGAATTTGGAAGCAAATTCAGTTGATCGACTAATAGGGAGAATAGTACTCTGATGAATATAATATCCTAAAAATCGGACTTTAGTTTGGGCTTGTTTAATCTTAGGAGCAGAGATAACGAGACCATTATGTTTAATAATCTGGAAGAAGGCATGAAGATGTTTCCAGTGTTCGTCTAATGACTTAGAAAAGATGAGGATGTTATCAATGTTGACGATGGAGAAATGACTAAAGGGGTTGAATATGTCATTCATAATATTCTGAAATTCACTAGGAGCATTTTTTAATCCAAAGGACATTACATTCCACTCATAATGACCAAAAGGTGTAGTGAATGTAGTTTTATATCTATCTTTCGGATGGACTTGGATTTGCCAAAATCCATCTTTTAAATCAAATTTATTAAAAATGACAGCTTGACTAAGTCTTTTAATTTAATATTTTTTATTAGGAATTGGATATCGAATCCATTCTAAAACGTTGTTTAAGGGTTTGTAATTGATGACTAAGCGAGGGACACCACGCTCTAATTCAGCATTCTTGTTAACATAAAAAGCAGGATAAGACCAAGGTGATTTACGTGGACGAATAATTTTATTTTGTAATAATTCATTAATTTCTTTTTTACACATTTCAACTAATTCATTGTTCATTTGAATAGGTCGAGATTTAATAGGTATTTGGTTTTCATTAAAATTTTTAATATAAGGTAATGTGACTACATGTTTTTTTCTATGCCAGAAAGCACTAGGTAAGGTGGAACAAACATGTGATTCAAGTTGGTTATTAAGTTGCTTAATTTTGGATTGTAAAGTAGGATTGATTAACTGAGTTTCAACCCTTTTATATTTGATTTATTCTTTAAGAAATTTAAGCTGTTTTGTTAATCGATTAATAGAATGAGATATATACATTCTTTTAATTGATTTAATTCTCTGACCTCAGGAGGAGATTGGAATTTAAATGTGACTTTTTGACCAAATGCTTGAGTAGTGATGCCATGATTAGTAGTGGTAAATGGATATAACAAGAATATAAGAGGAGTACCTAAAATGACTTTATCAGTTAAGTTTTTTACTAGAACAAATGATGTTTTAAAACAAACATTATCTTGAAAAATATGAACTTTAGGTAATTTATATTGGATATGCATTTGACTACCATTAGCAGAGCTTAATTGTTCAGTAGTTTTATGAAAATATTTAATAGGGATTAAACCTTCTTGGATACAATTTAAATCAGTATCAGTATTAATTAATGCTATCACTTCAATTTCAAAATCATTAATAACTAAGTTGATTTTTGAATGCCATTTCTTGATATTAATACGAGTTATTAAATTAAGTCGATTATTTTCATGAGAACGATTGTCAAAAATGACGTTTGCATATTTTAGGGCAAATTACAAACATAACCCTTGAGATTTACTTAAATTACAAATTACCCCATATAGTTTTAGAAATTACATTATGCCCCCTAAAATTTATAATTTCATACAAATAGGTCCGTTATTAGTAAATCATCAAGTTAATTAACAGTTTTTAATAATATTAAAATTTTATTTCAATTAATAATTCAGATAATTTTATTATTGTATAGGTGAGCAGTTAGAAATTCACTTTTTCAATTAGTTCTATTAAATAAAAAATTCTGACAGGCAGGTATTTGTAATTGTCCAAATTACATGGAGCAATTCGTATTCTTAACAAATCTCAGAAGATGTATTTGTAATTTATCGAATATTCTATATTATTAACCTTTTGAGCACAAACTAATTATAAAAATAAACACAAATATGCATAAATAAACAAGATCTTACGAAAGCTTTTGCTAGGCCCAATGCTTTTTTTTTTTTTGGTCCATGATTGATTTTGTGCTCTGACATTTATTAATTTGTTGTTCTTTTGTGAATTTCTTTGCGTCACATATTACTTTATCTGTATCTCTTTTTTTTTTCGGTTAAAGAAAGCGTCACATATTACCTATATATACAAGTATACTCAGGACAAGTTCTGTAATGTCCACCATGGCAAGTGATGCTCACTCCCTCAAACATTACTGCTTTGAAGAATGGATCAACCTTCAACAAGAAGACCTCTCAGAGCTCCTCCAAGGTCTATCCCTAAACCCCAACATCCCAGAGCACCATGACTCACTGAGTCAACTCACTCAGAAGAACGTCCAACACTTCCAAGAATACATTGACAAGAGAAGGCACTTGGCTCGTGACCATATCTCAGCCTACTTCGCACCCTCTTGGTGCAACTCACTTGAGAGCTCCCTCCTCTGGATTGCTGGATGCAGACCATCCATGTTTATCCGACTCACTTACGCGTTATGTGGATTGGAGATTGAGTCACGACTCACTGAGTTCCTCCAGGGGGCGAGGACCGGGGACTTTGGCGAGCTCACTACGAGTCAAATCACTCTGGTGAATAGTTTACAGGGAAAGACTATTAGGGAAGAAGATAAGCTGACGACCCGGCTGGCGAGTTTGCAGGAGGACATAACGGCAAGCCGTTGGCGGTGATGGAGGCGAGTCAGATCGGTGAGTTGAACCGTGACACGGATAAGGCACTTGATGAGCACGGGCTGTTTATGGCCACTATGTTGGTGGAGGCTGATCAGCTGAGGATGAGCACACTGAAGGAGCTGGTGGGTATTTTCACACCAATTCAGGCCGTGGATTTCTTGGCTGTGACCAAGAAGCTTCACCTTTGTATGCATGAGTGGGGTACGAAGAGAGATGATCACATGTATGGTACAGCAAAGAGTAGAGACATCATGTGTGTGGTACTAGGATCAAAGAGTATGTTTAATGTGTGTGTGTGTATGTAAGTGTGGGGTTTTGTCTTATTAGTTTGTTTGAATAAAGACAAGACTTACCACAGCTGAAATGGGAAAATTATATATCTATGGTTTTTGATAAATGAGGAATGGTGAAACATATTTAGCTAGGTAGATTATCTATGGACTCTCAAATATTTACTGTTATCTCATTTGTAAAGTTTTTCATTACGCTATTAATTGAGATTATTATGTAATTAAACAATGATATTATGAGATGGGATGTCACCCCACCCACACTTATAATTAGCTTAGGACTATTCTTGGGTTGATTACACTAATGGCACCTAAGCTATATGTTCTATTATACTTTAATCATCAATGTTTCAATTGTTTCGCTTTGATCCTCAAAATATATGATCTATTACAATTTAGTTTCTTAACGCAATGTCATTTAAAATTAATAATGGAACGAGAGGTATTTTTAGAATTTTATGCAAACTCTCAACAAAATCAGAATGATGAAATACACATATGTCCCGAAAGTATGCATTTTGTAGACTTCGGTTTTTAAAATATGTCTTTTGGTTCATTTTAGTTTTCAAAGTACGCACTTTTTTTTTTTTTTTTGCATTTTCATCCCTATTTTTTGTTTTTTTTGTTTTTTATTCTATTGTAAAAATCTGAAAATACCTCTCTCGTTTGGTTGCTAAAACATATCTTCAACAAGAAAGGATTGACTTTTAGAAGACATTTAGTCCAGTTAAAAAGTAGCCTACCATCCAGATTATTCTTTGTCTTGCTTTACACTTTAATTGGCCATTGAAGCAATTAGACATCTCTAATGCTTTCCTTCATGGTCACCTTGAAGAAGAGGCTTTGCAAGCTCCACAAGGCTTTGCATGGATTGCAACATACACCTCATGCTTGGTATTTTACCTTTCTTTTGTCTCAATGTTTTCACAATAGCCGTATGATACTTCCTTGTTCATTCATTAGACTACCACCCCCATTACCATCCTTTTGATTTATGCGGGTGATATCTTGCTCATAGGTAATAATGCTTCTCATATCCAGTCTCTGATTACTGAAAGAATTAGGAAATATCTCTTATTTCCTTGCGATTTTAATTCAATGAAATGGTTCTAATTTTTTTTTTCTTAGCAAAAGTATGCTCAAGGCATACTTCTAGAAGTTGGTTTGGTTGAATGTAAGCTTTGGTCCTCTCCTATCTTTGTTACGCCTGGTCTTCCTCCTAATGCTACTCTCCCTTTGGAAAATTCTTCTCTTTATAGGAGCATTATGGATGCTTGATAATATCTCACTATCACTCAACCAGATATATCTCCACCAATTTCTCAAGCATGTAAGCATATGGCAATTGAGGATTTTTCAATAGTCGAGCGGCTTCTTCATTTTGTCGAAGGCACTCTGTCTCATGGCTTGAATTACAATTCTAATACTTTTGACATACATGTCTTTTCTGATTCTAATTGGGCAGGGGACACCCTTGATGGCAAGTCTACTTCACACTACTACATATTTTTTGGCTCAAATCTTATTCCTTGGTCTGCTAAGAATCAAGCAGCCGTGTCTCCATTACATCTCCCACTCTACTCATCTTATGGCTTGAGATGGCGCTAGCTTGCAACCTTGTGTTTCACTCCAGATCTAATCATATACAGGTTGACTGCTATTTTGTGCGAGAGCGTTTGATTGCTAAGAAGCTCACTCTTCAATACATTCCATCCATTGATGAATTGGCTTATCTGTTTACTAAGCCTTTATTTGTCTCTTATTTTCAATATCTCAAAACCAAGCTCATGGAGTTTGATCTCCCCATCAGCTTATGGAGAATGTTGAGGATATTAGTGTTGTAGAAATTGTGTAATTAACTACAACAAACAAACAGATTCATAGTTAATAAATTACAATACAAAATAAGAAAATATGTTGGAAATTACTAGGTTGAACAGAAATACATAACAAGATAAAACGAAGAAAATATAGCAAACCGAAGCGTGTGTGGTACCACAGTCTCCTTCAAACAGATTTACTGCCTCACAGTGGGCACTGGAGGTGTATCAATGTCTGTCTCCCAAAATAGGACGATATAAACTCGCTAATGCAAAAGTACCTTCTGTTTAGTTTCGGTAAACTGATAACAGCAACACTCTCTCACACAGGAAGAAAAATGAATATATGGCAGACTGACTGTATAAGATGGAGGCAAAAAAATTATGTCTTGAAACCAACGAAGATAACCTCCTTTTATAAACAATGGCGGAGAGCGGAAGAGCCTCCCAACCATGAAGACTAGTAGCAAATGCACCCATTACTCCTGCAAAACTGATGAAGTAATGCACAATGATGGGAAGTAAGTGTGTGGGTTACATACTCTATATACACATGTGTGTATATTTGTAGCCACCAAACAAACCTGGCCCAAAAAGATTAGGTTGATGCACCACCAATCTGGCCCAACCCAATCTAACCCATTCTAGCAAGCCCCAAGCCCAAGCCCAAGCCCAAGTCCAAAGTCCAAGATCCAAGACCTACGGATCATGGACCTAGCCCGATTCGATCCGGTCGGGGAGCGCGTGCTCAGCCCAAGCCCAAGCCCAAGATCTACGGACCGGTCTGGTTTAGGCAAGCGGGTGGACGGCGCACGCTTGCGGCAAGTTTTGCATAACTAACTTGGACCATAATTTTAGCCCAAGCCCATCCTTGAAGCATCCATAACTCTTTTCCTTCGAAAAATTTGGATGTCCCAAAGGGCTCATGTCCTTATCAAAATCTTAAGGTTTAAATATTCATGAAAGCTTTCCTCTGTAATCAATGCGAGAATGGTAGTTATATACAATTTTCAATACCTCATTCATGAGACCAACTTCATGAGATGATTTTCATTCAATTTTTAATGATTTTTTGTCATTTATTTTATAGTGTAAATATCTTATTAGAAATAATCTAAAACCATTTAATCTCACCTCAACCAGACCAACTTTAATTTCACATTAAAATTACCATAAAACCATTTTTTCCCCCTAACAATTAGCTCAACCAACAACTCATAAACTTCAGCTTCACTGGCCCTGTTTGGTGATTTTTTTTTTTTTTTTAGCTAGAAGCTGATAATTAGAAATACAGAAGTTAAAAGCACCCATTCTCTAGCTTCTAAATAATTTATTTTTTTCAACTTATTTAAGCTATTTCTGCCTAATAAGCTATATGCAGAATTTGCACCAAACACTCTAGTACAGACCCCAAAATTAAAATAGGGTAAATTATGCAAATAGTCCATATAGTTTACACGATGTGTTAATTTGGTCCTTATAGTTTCAATTTGCTCGATTTTACCCTTTAATTTAACGGATTGTGTCATTTTAGTCCAATAAATAACCGTTGCTAAGTTAATTTAACGGAAGGTCAAACAGTGTGTCAATTTGATCCCTGTAGTTTCAATTTTCTCGATTTTCACAGGGACTAAATTGACACATTGTGAAAAATACAAAGACCAAATTGACACATTGTTTAACTTTCTGTTAAATTAACTTAGCAACCGTTATTTATTAAGCTAAAATGACACAATCCGTTAAATTAAGAGGCAAAATCGAACAAATTAAAACTATAGGGACTAAATTGACACATTATGTAAACTATAAAGACTACTTACATAATTTTTCCATTAAAATAAGACATAATCACATTCTAAAAGTTATACCAAACAGCCCCATGAGCAGTAGACAACTCATCAAGAGTAGTCACATTATAGTTAGTTATTAATCAATTAGTAGTTTGTTAGAGCTTGTGAAAGTGTTGTGACAGTTGTAACAAATATATATATCGCATTGTGGTTTGAGACTGGAATAATTTACTTTTTTTATCCTTCAAATATAATCAAAAAATTCTATGCGAATTTGGACTAAAGTGCATGTTAGTTTTTCTATCTAAATTAACGGAAGGTGTATTACATACATCATTTTTTAGAGTGAGCTTTGTTTTTTGAAAAATTAGAATGAAATTAATACAACAAAAGTATAATTTTACTCTCATTTTCTCCAAACCTAAAATTAGACTAATATGCTAATTAAAATAAAATAAAATATAGTATAATATAATTAAGAATTGATCTAAAATATAAAATATAATTAAGAATTAATTTAAAAGATAATTAAATAAAATATAAAATAAACAAGAATTAAGAATTGATCTAAATGTAATTAAATAAAGATTAGATTAACATGTTAGAAATTATAATAAATAATTAAGAATTTAAAATTAATTGTGATCTAAAATATAATTAAATTAAAACTAGATTAAAAATTTAGTAATTACATCAAATAGTTAAATATTTATGATTAACTGTGATCTAAAATATAATTAAATAAAATTTAGAATAAAGATTTAAGAATTACAACAATTAATTAAAAATTTATAATTAATTGTGATCTAATTGGATTAGTACTAGACATTACAAATTATGTGTATGAAAAAAAATATATATATAAGATTTAAGGGTATTATAGTCATTTCACATCTATAGTTAATGATATTAATAGTTGTATTTTAGTTTAAAATCACATGGGCCATATGGTCATTTGCAAAAGATAGGGGGTTTGCTTTTGTGGATTTAAGTAACATAATTCTGTGTATATGGATAGATATGTACTGCACATTTCAATCATGGAAAGAGATGAGAAGTGTTCAGCTTCTCTTCAGGCTTAATGTAAGTTTTCAATTTCAAAACAAAATAGTTTATGAAAATAAATTTTATTTATAAAAATAATATTATTACATTATTCTTTTTTTATTTTTGTATAAATTTTCTGTTTGATAGAATTTATCTTAAAAATGTAAGTTCCACCTTCTGTATTACAATACGACTATAAGAATGATATATGCACCACTACACATTTATACTTGTTTGTATATCCATTCATTTTTATTTTATTTTTTTTATATAGTAGAGTGCCCGAACTAGCTTATGTTTATTTCGACTAATTCTTAGAGGACCAATCTCACTATTCACTAGCGGGAGTCCAATTAAAGTCAAAACAGAGCTCCATATAGATTGCCCAACACAATAATTGATAGTACCTAAGAGATTTTAAACCTAAGATTTAGAAAAAAACAAACTCCTATGTTTCAAACTTACACCACTATGGTTTTTGTGTATTCATCCATATAGGCATGTGTGGACGTGCCCGAATGTCCCGGGAAAATCTCGTTTTGTTCATTGAGCTGCTACAGTTCGGACTCAA